AAACAAACAAACATAAAAAAATTAGGGGCGCTTGGGTGGCTCAGTCGGTTAGGCGTCTAACTTCGGCTCAGGTCAGGATCTCATGGTTTGTGGGTTCGAGCCCCACATCAGGCTCTATGCTGACAGCTCAGAGACTGGAGCCTGCTTCAGATTCTGTGTCTTCCTCTCTCTCTGCCCCTCTCCCATTCATGATCTGCCTCTCAAAAATAAATAAACGTAAAAAAAAAATTTTTTTTTTTTAATTAAAAAAAGGAAAATCATTACACATGCTGTATGATGGATGAAACTTCAGGACATTATATTAGTCAATCACAAAAAGACAAATACCTTATGATTCCATTAATATAAAGTACCTAGAGTAGCCAAATTCAGAGAGACAAAAAGTAGAACGGTGGTTACCAGGGGCTGCAGAGGAGGGTAGTTAGTTGATGAATACAGAGTTTCAGATTTGCAAGATGAAAAAGTTCTGGAATTCTGTTTCACAACGTAAATTTACTTAGTGTTATAGAACTGTACATTTTAAAATGGTTAAGATGATCAACTTTACACATTCATTACAATCAAAAATTTTAATTATGCTGACTTTAAGTACAATAAAAATAAATTCTTACGTATCAAAGAACTAATGCTTGAAAATATGTAAATATAAAACAGCATAAGATCTATGTATAATTATTCAAATGGCCTTTTAATTTAGCTTCCACCTAAGAGATAAGCAGCTTAAAAATAAAATATAAATAGCTTAAAATAAGTCACTCTGGAGGCACCCGAGTGATTCAGTCAGTTAAGCATCCAACTCTTAATTTCAGTTTAGGTCATTATCTCACAGTTCATGGGATCAAGTCCCTCATGGGGCTCCACACTCACAGCACGGAGGCTGCTTGGGATGCTCTCTCCCCCTTTCTCTCTCCCCCTCCCCTGCTCCACTCAAAATAAATCTCTCTCCCCCAAGATAAATAAGTAAACATTAAAAAAAAAAAAAATCACTCCAAGCTGTATGTTCAAATTTCACTGTAGAAGTTTCTTGCTAATTATAAATTGTATGCTCAGCCAAAAAGTATTTCTGGTAAAAGAAGACAATTCTGTAACTGAAAAATATTCTTGGGATCATCTACTACAGTAATTATAATGTGGGTCCACAAACAATGGCAAAGGAGAATAGTAAGGAAAATTAAAAGTAGTTTTTCATAAAACTAATCTACTTAATTTTAAGGCATATACTTTATTCTGAGACCACATCTCCCCTACTCTGAAACTTTCTTTTGAATGCTAATTTCATCCATTCAACAAAAACGTGTTGAGCCAGTAACTCTCAGGTGCAATGCTGTTAAACTGAATAGAAGCAAGGTGCTCACCCTCAGGGAACTATCTCCTTTCTAGTGGAAAATAAGAATAGCAATTGTAAAAGATGATAGGGTTTTAAGTCTTTAACACTCAAAACAAAAACCTGGTCAGCATAAGTAACCCTATGTCAGTGGGAAACACTAATCTATAGCCCCCTTCCATTTTATAAATGAGAACCTGGATGCCCAAAAGGTTTCACAATTTCAATAAATCCAAAGCCAAAACCACCTTGTTTCTAGACTCTAAAACACCAAACTATCCATGTGAGTGAGTAGAGATTCAAACATGATTATTTACAGGACTCCAAATATCTCAGACTAATATTTTTCTACTTACTGTGTCCTTCCAATTCTAAGAGGATTTGATTCTATATACCAACCTTGTATCATTTGTGGACTTACAAGTTTAATGAAAAACTTAAAATCCCTAGGGCAGAATTTATCAAATCTCATGCCAGCAAAAGAAATTCTACTTTCTGATAAATGATAAAGCCAAATCCAACATTGTAGAACAAGGGGAAAGAAGAGACACAAAAATAGCATCCACAGTAATACTGTCTTGGTCACTGTTTCTTTGGCCTAGAAAGTACAGTAATTCTCTGGAGCACTGCTATCCCATTCACTAGAAGCCTTCAGACAGTTTAAATACACAAAGGAACTGAAAAACAAATAGTGATAATCAGCTAATTAACATTTCAAAGTACCACAATAACAAAACTTGTAGTTTCAGTGAATAATCTAGGTTTGACAATAACTGACCTGACAATACAGTCTCTTCCCTCACCTCCTCCTACCTTTCTCTAGTTGTGTACAAGGGTGGAATACTAAGCTTATAATACGTGCCAGACAACAAGTCCATAGGCTTGTTCTCATAGGTTCAAAAAGTTTTTCTCCACTTAAAAATAAACCCATGTATAATACAAATTTGGGGGAAAAACTTGAAGGTGTAACTATCCCCTTTCATAAAGGAAACTGAGCCACAAAGTTAGAGACTTCCCCACACAGTAAGTAGAAGAGCCAAGATATGAACCTAACTGCAAAGTTTGTAGGACTCTCATTTTGTTCCCGAATCTGTCATAAACACAAGTGCCTGGATAGGAGAGAGTGGATGAGGCAGGTGAAACACAAAAATGTACAAAAATATTTTTCCCTGAGATATCAGAAGAATTAGATACAAAAACTGCACTGGAAGAGTTCTAAGTGCTTATGACTGGAACAAAGGGTTACAGAGGTTCAAAGGACAAACGACTTTTTGCTTGCAGTGAGCAAGGAAGAATTCAGTGAAGAGGGAGGAAATTGAGGAGTTAGACCACAGAGGAAAAAAAAGTGTATTTTAGGCAGAAGAAACTTCAGAGAACAAAAGCGGGGTAAAGAGGAGGAAGACATAGGGCATTTATGTTTAGAAAAAGCAAAACAGCCTGGCTGAAGCACAGAAATTATGTAAGAGAGCAGTTAAATGTAAGGCTGAAAAGGTAGGACTAGGTCAGACTTCAGACAACCTGGTGAAACTCCCTATTTACAGCACCAGGATATAATTAAACTTTTACGTATTTGTTATCTTCATGAAATAATACACATGGCCTATTAACTTGAATGAATTTATGCTTTTCAGCTAAGAAAAGGAATCTAGGACAGCACCTGATACAAGATGATTAAATGCTGGATCTGAATTCAAATAACCAATTTTCTTCTTCCTATCTCCTGACAACTAGAGACTTATGGGGGGGAGGGGGATCAGAGAAGGCAGGCTGAACCTACACCCAGATTGCTGAAATTTATGGCAGCTACTCAATATAACTGGGGAAAAAATAGAACCCACAAATCTTTTCCATAGGAAAGCTTGAACAGAAAGAAATAATGACCAAAAAATCCCCCTCGTATTGACAAGACTAGCTTAAAAGAAAAATAAAGCTGCAATTGGATTTTTTTAAAGTAACTTTATCTTTAATTTCATGTTTTAAAATCCAAGCTAGAATTTGGAAAAATGTTCATTTAGACCACAGCTATCCTGAAGCAACTGATAAGAAATTAAAATTCCAAACACCTACTCGATTCAAAACTACCACTTCCCCCTTAAATTAGAGGGTTAAGTCCCATCCCCCTAATAAAAAGGAGACCTACTAGATCTTTAAGTGTTACCTGGATAATGATATCACTCTCTATTGCTGTTCTAACAGGCCAGGGTGGGCTACCCTTTGCCCTCTCTTTCCCATACAAGAGTAGCGAACCCCGCAAAAGAAAAGGAAGTTATAGCAGCTCTATCTTCTCAGTTCAAAAACTATCAAAAGCTGTTAAGACATAAAAAGAAGCACTCCATAGAAAGTGGAAGTGGAGTGGGGGAGTACACTGAAACCAAACAAATTCTTATTTATAAAATTTAAGTTGAAACTTGGAATCTAGCCCAAAGCTCTTATTTTACACGTTAAGAAACTGAGGCCCAAGGCAGTGGTGATTTGCCCAGGGCAAACGCTTCCCTATAAAGGTGTTAAGTGTCTGTTACCAGTCACAGTAGCACTTAATCACATTCTAACAGTTACTTAAATGTTTATGAGATTAAGTACCTGGGGTGCAAAAAACACAATCTTCACCTCCTCTGCATCCCCTTCAGTGCCTTGCCCCACGCCCCAGAGCTATTCAGAAAATCCTTAAGAATTCTCAAATGAATACCATGTCCTCTTTCTGATACCATAGCTACAAAATTTATTTTATTTAATATAAAGTGAAAGGCTGAAATGCTTAATCAAGTTCTGACTAAATGAGTGGATCAGCAAAACCTCAAAATTTGGGGCAGAATATGAAATGGAATATAGTACTGCTTCTTTTTTTTTCCTCTTTGATAGTTGCCATTTCCCTTGTATTAATGTTTTTAGTCCAGGTTTTATGAAAAACAACTATCATAGGTGCAAAATTAATCCAAATTATCAGTGCTTTTGAGACATTTCGATTTATTAAACAACTTAGCGTATCTTCATCTCTCAAAAATAACTTGAAAATATCCTACCCAGCACAAATTAATATTTTCGGGGGGGGGGGACCTAAAATAACGGTCTACCAGTCCACAACGTATTAAAACCACAAAACAGAAACACTCCTGTAAAAATCCCACCAGTTAAAGAGTACTATCAGTCTTCCTTGGCTCACTGCTTACCGTCAAACTGTCAAAGCATTTGTTGAAGAACACGGGGGAAAGTTCTGCACCGAGTTCACAGGCTGTGGGTGCATCAGATTATACCACCACCCACACATAACACCAGTTTGGGGAAATGCAAACACGCCACATGTACATGTTTTAACCAGGCTTAACCACGTTTAACCAAGGTAGGTATTGTCAGCTCTTGTATCAAAGGTTTAAAAAAGGCAGCAATATGCAAACATACTTCAACTCATTTATATCATCACCAGAAATGGCAAGGAATTGACCCGAGACGAATTAAACAGTTCTGAACCTTAAGGCCGCCGTACAAAACAGTTTAGAAGGGCTGTCTTTCTGAAAAGTCGGGCAAAAATCCTTTTAAGAGTTTGAAAACTAATGACCATACGCTAATGCACAAATAACAAAAGCTTAGTACAAACCACCATGCCACCAAACCGTTCTTGCTACCACTGCCCAGGTTTTCTAAAACAAGCACTGAAAGGGAACAATAAAAAGCGTCTCACCGCAAACACAGCAAGAGAGGGACTGTCGGAAGTAAGGCAAGAGCCTGTTAATCTCTGTAAACGCCTTGGGGTCTCCGGGGTCGTAGTTGAGCACTAGGCGGCTCGCGGAAATGTAGAGAGCAGTAGCATTCACGGGGTTCATTGCAGACACTTCGACACCGATGGCTCCCGGTTGAAAAAAAATTCCGGATCCAACTTTGTAAGCAGCCAGGGAACAATGGCGAATTTGCAACAATTCGGAGGAAATCAGAGAAGAACCACTGGCCAAAGTAGTAACCAAAATCCGCACAAGTTTGTGGAGCTGAAGCAGTACTCCCACACATGGGGCCTTGGCGCCCCTCCTCCGTCCCTGAGACTTGCAGACGAAGAAAAAAAA